GCACTAAGTTGCCATGACACCCATGTCTGCCACGCCCTTTCTCACAGCCTCACAGCCGCACCACCACTCCAGCACCCATAGGTCACGCCCAGCAGTCTTGACCCAACTCAGGCTTCCTCCCACGCAGCCGAATCACAGCTCCCAGACCTTGTCACTCCGCCTCAGGCCTCGGGGGTAACCTCCACCCACAGAATCTGGACAGCAGGTGGGGTTGGTACTGTGCCCTGAGCAGACCCAGTTCCTCCAGTGCTCCCCGGCCAGGCTTCCGGTCTTGCATGACCTCTAGGGAAAGTCTCTGGCTGCTGATGCTGGAGTCAGGCCAGGAGCATCTCCCAGAGGGACACTGGGGAGACCGTGAGGACAGGAGGGCTCCCACAGTGCGTGTGCTCAGGAAAGGGTGCCAGCCTCCCTCCCCTCCCTGCAGCAGGGCTGGAGCAGGTGCGTTTAATTAAACAGGTTGGGTGGAGACATCAAGTCTTTGATCTTTGCTGCCAGAGCTCTATGGGGCATTTCTTTTCAGAGCTCCCAGCTACACTACTGCTGAGTCTCCATCACTCCTTTCTCATTCCTAGCCTCTGGGTGCATTCTGCGTGTCTCTCAGGACCCCACAGCCCAGTGTCCCTGAGCTCTCCTCTACAGCAGCACACATCCGGACCCTGTCACAGGTCCCACTCTAGGACGGCTTTGAGGACTAGCAGGGAACACAGAAGGCAGCAAGATGGCAGGACTGGGAGATGCAAGGATGTGGCACACACATGCACGTGCGCACACGCACACACGCAAGGATGGGGCACATGCACGCACACATGCACACTCCTTGTTTTCCCACGTGATGCCCTGTACCCCTTTGGGGCTCCACCAGCAAGAAGGCCATCACCAGACACAGCCCACAACCCTGTACCTCCAGAACCAAAAGAGCTAAAATAAACCTCTTTTCTTTATAAAGTGAAAAGAAAAAGAGAGAGAGAGAAAGGGAGAGAGAGACAGAAAGGGAGGGGGAGAGAGGGAGAGGGAGAGGGAGAGGGAGAGGGAGGGAGAGAGAGAGAGAGAGAGAGAAAACAAAGAAAGAAAAGAAAGGAAAAGAAAAGAAAGAAAAGAAAAGAAAAGAAAGAAAAAGATGTTCTGTGGGGGAGTGAAAAACAGAACAAAGACAACTAATCACTCTTCTGTCTGGCAAACAAAATGGGTCTGAGTGGGAATCAGCTGGGGCTGCCAGTGATGGTTCCCGCTTCTCAGTAAGGGATCAGCATTTTTTGTTTTTGTTTTTGTTTTTTGTTTTTTGGTACCAGGAATCGAACTCAGGACCTTGCGCTTGCCAGGCAGACACTTGTACCGCTGAGCTATATCCCTGGCCCAGCATTTTTTTTTTCAGTACTGGGAACTGAACCCAAGGTCTCATCACTGAGGTACATCCCCTCCATCTCCCTTTTTTTGAAACAGGGTCTCCCTATGTAGTTCAGGTTGGCCTTAAGCTTACTATGTAGCTCAGGCTGGCCCCATTCGTGATCCTCCTGCCTCAGCTTCCTGAGTACTGGGATTACAGGTGTGTGCCACCACAGCTGGCAGGGACTGCATCCTTATCCCTCCCGGTACCACCAGCCACCATCACAGTGCCTGGCATGGAACAGGCCTCAGCAAATCCGTAATCTATGGAAGATGGGTCCTGGAAGCTGCTTTTCCAGGGCTTGTGGCTGCTGGTCCCACTGCAAGAGCTGATAGGTGCCCTGTGGGAAAACATCCTGTTTATGAGGTTAAAGCACCATGGGAAGCTCAGTGTCAGCACCTGTGCCAGCTCGGTCCCTCCTGTTAGGAACACAAGTGGCATTTATTTGGTGTCTTTTTCCTGAGTAACAAGGCAGGTAGCAGAAAGTTCCTCGCTCCCCCACCTTAGAAAAGGACCTTGGCGAAGTTAGCTATCGGGACAGACCTGAAGTGATCACACGACCCAAATACAAATTCCTGAGCTATTTTTTATCCTGTCTTGGGATGCACAAGTCAAGCCAGGAGGTGGAGCTGTGTCCTATCCTCCAGGTCTCCTCTCCTATCACTGGTTGCCCCTGCTGCCCTGGGTCCTCCAGGGAAGCTTCAAGCCCACACACCAGCCCCGCCAGGCAAGAGGACAACAATCAGTGGCTGCCAGCCAGTAGTGTGTTCCTCGAAGCCACAGACACAGGCCCCACCTGGGTGGTCCGCACACCTGGGTGGTCAGGGGGGTGGCCAGCAGACAGTGGGGCAAGAACACACTGGCTCAGTGACGCAGGCTGGGACAATCCAAGTGGTCTTGAATGCAGCCTGTGCCAGAGGGACCCAAGGGCTTGGGACAGTGTCCTGCACCCTAAATCCCTCCGATTCTCTAACTGGGGCTCTCAGGACCCAGCACCAGAAAGGACTTTCTTTGTCCCTTGTTACAGTGCAACTCCCCACAGCTGATACTGTGGCTGTGCAGAGTGACAGAGGAGCTCAGGGTCTGGGGTTCCCAAGCTGTGTGAGGACAATCACACTGGCTTCTGCCATGTGAATTTCCTCCCCACAGTCTGGGAGGGCAGCTACCCGTGCTATGGGTATTTCCCATCCTATCCACTTCCCTGCCACCACATCAACCACACACAGAGGCTCCACTCAGGACCAGGGGAAAACGTGAAGCGACCATACCCACACGGGCCGCCAGGCCAACTCAGCAACTGTGCCCATCCAGAAAGGGTTCTGGCGAGCCAGCAGCACTTAGTCACAACTCAAGTTCTGCCTCCTTTT